TTTTGGGCGAATGCCCCCAAAATAATCAAAGTGGCACGCGTGCCCTGGCTCTTGCACATTTGAGGAGACAGAGAGGAGGAGGGGCGAGGGGGGGGCGAGATGGCCAGGGGATGGGGGGCCAGAGCCAGGGGGACGGAACCACGAAAATCAAAAGGGTCCGGGGCGAGGAGGGCTGGGGCCAAGGCCAGGGCTGGGGCGAGTGGGGGTCCAGGGCCAGGGCAGGAGGACTGAAGCTCGGACCAGGGGCCAGAGGTCCGGGTTCGAACCACGAAAATACACGGTCCCGGGCGAGGAGGGCTGGAGCGAAGGCCAGGGTCGGGGCGAGTGGGGCCAAGGCCAGCAAACAAGCTGAGTTCAGCCAGGGCCAGAGGGCTGGGGCTCGGACAAGAGGCCAGAGGTCAGGGTTGGGGCGAGGGGGCGAGGGGGGGCGGGCCACAGCCAGGGGGACGGGGGCGAGGGGAAGCGGGCCACAGCCAGGGAACGACGACAAACCACGAATCCTGAAAATACAGAGTCCGGGGCGAGGGGGGCTGGGGCCAGGGCCAGGGGGCGCCAGAGCCAAGGAGGGAGGCTGGGTTCAGGGCCAGGGCAGGAGGACTGGGGCGAGGGGGCCAGGGGAAGCAGGCCAGAGCCAAGGGGACGACGACGAACCACGAAAATAAAGAGTCCGGGGTGAGGGGGGCTGGGCCAGGGCCAGGGGGCGACCCATAGCCACGGAAGAAGGCTGGGTTCAGGGCCAGGGCAGGAGGACTGGGGCGAGGGGACCAGGGAAAGCAGGCCAGAGCCAGGGGGACGACGGCGCTAGGGCGACGGGGGCTGGGGCCAGGGCCGAGGGAGGAGGCTGGGCCCAGGGGCAGGACCAGAGAGGCGACGACGAACGAAAATTATCCTGGCGAAGGACCCAACCATATGCAGTTGTGAGTATCGCAATTGTGAGTATCTTCTTCGGTGGCGCTCCCTATGGGGCCACGAACCGCTTGAGGGGTGTGCCGAAATGTGGCGGGGTACACAACGCAAAGGAATACGATAGATCTGATTACGAGAGAAAGAACGCGGGTGAGTCAGAGCGCGAGGGAATCTGAGTATGAATGGGTCTGCGCGCGAGTGAATATATTTGCATGAGTGCGATCATGGAAGCGCCTAGTGTAAGTGTCGAGCATGCCTGTCCGAACACACGTGACACTGGGCGTGGCCGCCGCAGGCAGCTTCCGCGGGAACCCCGACGGCAGCGTCCGCACGTCGCGACGCCCATGTCGGCACGCCTCTTGCGAGGATCGCGCCCGCTTTCGGCTCTTCTTTTCCTTCCTCTTTGCCCGCGCACTCCAAAATCCAAGGCTGCGGGCGCAGCGCAGCGCGGAGTCCCCGCGACGCGCGCTGGTCGCCCCGGGCGGGGTCCCAGCGACGCGCGCGGGTCGTCCGCTGCGCGAAGCAGAGAGAGCTGACTAGCTAACTGGCTGGCTGATAGCGGGCAAGTCGCTGGGCAGAGCGACGACGGGCGAACGAGGCGCCGGGCCCCCCGCAGCACGGAGTTCCCGCGACGCGCGCTGGTCGCCCCGAGAGGGTCCCAGCGACGCGCGCGGGTCGTCCGCGGCGCGAGGCCAAACAATTAGTCGGGCAGTCGAGAGAAGGCGCGGCTCGGGGGAGACGCTCCTCAGGTCAGGCCTCGCGGATGAACTCGGTGAAGCCGAGCTCCCTGGCGAGGGCCGTCGCTTCCCTCCTGCACCGCTTCGTGCGCGCCGCAAACTGCTCCAGCTGCTTCCGCAAGCCCTGCGGCGGCCCTGCCAGGAAGAACTCGATGCGCGGCGCCCGCATGAGCAGGAGGTCCTCGTGGCGCGTGGCGCGCGAGAGCAGCGCGTAGAGCTCCAGCCACCAGTCGTCGTCCTCCTTCTTGCCGTTCCCTACCTCGTGGCGGCCGCAATCCAGGATCACGCCTGGGCGACGTCGACCGAGGGAGCAGCGCGCCGGGCAGCCGACGGCCCAGGGCGAGAGTCCACAGGACCGAGAGATGGTCTGGCCGCGGACTGCTCGCGCCCCGGAGGTCTGGCCGCCCCCGGAGCGCCGTTCCCCCGCCCCGTCGCCTTCGCGCATGGTGCGCCCCTGGCACGCCACCGTGGTGATGACCCTGCCGTGCGAGAAATGCGGGGGGTGTGCCGAAATGGGTGGGGGTGACGCATGCGGGCGGCGGCACTGAGGCCTTCGGTGGAGCTCCCTATGGAGCCACGAAACGTGTGAGGGGTGTGCCGAAATGGGTGTGGGTGACGCATGCGGCCGCGGGCACTGGGGCCTTCGGTGGAGCTCCCTATGGAGCCTCGAAACGTGTGAGGGGTGTGCCGAAATGGGTGTGGGTGACGCATGCGGCCGCGGGCACTGGGGCCTTCGGTGGAGCTCCCTATGGAGCCACGAAACGTGTGAGGGGTGTGCCGAAATGGGTGTGGGGGACGCATGCGGCCGCGGGCACTGGGGCCTTCGGTGGAGCTCCCTATGGAGCCACGAAGCGTGTGAGGGGTGTGCCGAAATGGTGTGGGGGACGCATGCGGCCGCGGGCACTGGGGCCTTCGGTGGAGCTCCCTATGGAGCCACGAAGCGTGTGAGGGGTGTGCCGAAATGGGTGTGGGTGACGCATGCGGCCGCGGCCACTGGGGCCTTCGGTGGGGCTCCCTATGGAGCCACGAAGCGTGTGAGGGGTGTGCCGATTGTGTTGATGATGATGATGATGATGATGATGATGATGATGATGATGATATGATGATGATGATGAATGATGATGATGATGGGAAAAGGGGGGAGGAGGCAGCGGGAGGAAGGAAGGAAAGAAGGAAGGAAGGAGAACGCGGGGCACCGTCTCTTCAAACGAGGGAACCCAACACCACAGGATGGTTGGGAACAAGAGTCCAGGGCGTGGGGGACCATGGGGTCCAGGGCCGGGGGGGGGAGGCTGGGTCAGGGCCGAGGGCCAGCGGGGCGAGGGGGGCTGGGGCCAGGACCAAGGGGGGAGGTTGGGTCCAGGGCCAGGACCGGACCAGGGACGACGACGACGAACGAAAATAAACGGTCCAGGGCGAGGGCCGGGGGCCAAGGGCGTGGGGGGAGGCTGGTCCAGGGGGGAGGAGGCTGGTCCAGGGCCAGGCCAGCGGGGCGAGGGGGGCTGGGGCCAGGCCCAGGAGGGGAGGTTGGGTCCAGGGCCAGGACCAGAGGGACGACGACGAACGAAAATAAAGGGTCCAGGGCGAAGGGGGCTGGGGCCAGGACCAGGGGGGAGGCGGGTCCAGGGCCAGGGCCAGCGGGGCGAGGGGGGCTGGGGCCAGGACCAGAGTCCAGGACCGGACCAGGGACGACGACGAGCGAAAATAAAAGGGTCCAGGGCGAGGGGGACTGGGGCCAGGGCTGGGACCAGCGGGGGAGGCTGGGTCCAGGGCCAGGGCCAGCGGGGCGAGGGGGGCTGGGGCCAGGACCAGGGGGGGAGGTTGGGCTCAAGGCCAGGACCGGACCAGGGACGACGACGAGCGAAAATAACCTCCCAGGGCGAGGGCACAGGCCAGCGGGGGGTGGGAGCTGGTTCCGGGTCTTCCAGGCCAGGCCCGCGGGGCGAGGGGGGCTGGGGCCAGGACCAGGGGGGGATGGTTGGAGTCCATGCAGTACCCGACCAGGGACGACGACGAACTCTGGGCGAAGGTCCGGGCGAGGGGACATTTCGGACACTGGGGCCCGGGCCCCCCCGGGGGGGAGAGGCTTGGTCCAGGGCCAGGCCAGCGGGCAGGGGGCTGGGGGCCAAAGGACCACCAGGTGGGGAGGATGGGTCCAGGGCCAGACCGACCAGGGGACGACGAA